CCTCTGAACTCTTATCTCCTTAGGCCTTCTTCTCTAACCCTGGAGTTTCCTATCTGGCTAAAGACCTGCCTTTCAAAAAAGGTGTGCCCCCTTTTCTGACCAGCAGTTGAAAACTGACCAGCAGTTTTCAACCAGGGGTGTGCAGACCACAGACAGAATCACTATGACCCAGGTGGATCACAGGCTGCTGAAGATTTGTCTTCCCTCAATCCTGGCGTTCCCCCTGCAAATATCATGCAGTCCCTACCTGCAGTGTGTTCTTCTGATAAGAGCCTTGTACACACATTTTTCCTCCTTGCCCACCAGCAAGGCGAATGCCTTTGTCTGCCACTGCACTAAAACTGCTCACCCAGCATACTGTCAGTGATAAATAATAACTAAAAGCCTGTAACAAAGTAGATGGCCTGCACTGGACTGAAGGCACCCATGAGTTCCATAGCCTGCTAAGGAATCCTCAGGAGCCATGGAGACAGGCAGGGCATTTGGCAGCCTGTGAATTTTGGAAAGGATAGGAGGACAGCTCTACTAATAGTTAACATTTGAGCTCCTATTTGAGGTTGAAGTGCTGTGGCTCAAAATGCTGTGGAGCGGCCTCCAAGAATCTTGCAATAGCAGCAGTCTGAGATCATGTTCTACATTTGATTTCCTGCGAAGAATCACTGGTTGTGGCCAGGAAGCTGTTATAAGAGCCATGTCTTTCTATCTTTATCTCTCTAACCATTTTAACAGAAAATGAGATTGTTCTGGAGCACTTTCAGGGCCACACCTTAGAATTGCTCTGAAAATAAGAGCTGTAAGTGTCTGATTTCTGTAGAACTCTTAAGGTTTAGGAGATGGTGACTGTTGATTTAGCTGCTGAGTCATGGGGCTGGGATCTTGGTTTTAAGCAGTCTGAAACATCAGTGTATTGTTGGGGAAATCACAAACTCTGCTTGCAAAATTCATATAATTCTCTGGCAAACATTTTACAATTTCCTTGTTGCTTTTTTGCTGAATTTAAGCCTAAAGATCTTTCTTCTTAGTCAGTAGGCCTTCAGCTTTATCCAAAGCTAGGGATTAAGGAAGAAAAGCAGGTTTTGCAGCTGACAAGAAGAAATAATAATTTGAATACACACTTTGATCTCTCTATGCAATGTATTAAACCTGAAGATGTATGACACGGTTTTAGCTCTCTGAATTACAGACCAAGAGGAGCGCTAAGTACAAATAATTCTTATTGGAAAATGAAGCCCTTTGAGTGTGTTTGGGGTGGGGCTGGGGGGGATGTACTTATGAACTGATTTAAAACAGGAATCAGTTCTTTCTTCAGCACAGGGTAAAACAACTACATCTACTGTTGTCTATTTTTCATTCGTCAGACCACTGAGGAATATTGCCTGTTTTGAACTTTGAGAAATCCCCCAGGATCTGTGTGAAATTCCACTGCCAAACCAGGGCTCCCCTAGCAGCTCAGACGGTAAAGGATCCACAAGCAATGTAGGAGATCCCAGTTCCATCCCTGGGTCGGGAAGATACCCTAGAGAAGGAAATAGCAACCCATTCCAATATCCTTGCCTGGAAAATTCCATGGACAGAGGAGCCTGGTGGGCTACATACAGTTCATGGTGGTCGCAAAGAGTCGGACACGACTGAGCGACTACACACACACACACACACACACACACACACACACACACACACACACACACACACACACACACACACACACACACTTGGGCTACAGTTCATGGTGGTCGCAAAGAGTCGGACACGACTGAGCGACTAACACACACACACACACACACACACACACACACACACGCCAGGACAAGTATGGTTCACATGGATGAGAAAGGGAGGGATGGGGCCTCATTTTAAGATGCAACATTAACAAGAGCCTCAGAATGCACTAACCCTGGCCACGCACATGGAGGAGTGCCTGGGCCGTAGGAAGTGCTCAAAATCCTTTCCTCTATCTTGGCCTGATAACTCATGTGTGACCGACGCACAAGGACAAAGGGACCGTGTCACCTTGGCAGGCGGCCGGGAGCACAGGGCGCATGCGCGGGTGAGCGCACGTGGCCATGCTCCCGGCTCGGCAGCCCGGGAGCTGGGTAGGGGCACGCGGCCTCCAACGTCTCCCTGCCACTGGGGTCTCCAGCACCGCGCAGCGGGGCGAGGGGTGGGGCGGCCAGAAAGGACGGGCCGCGAAGGTCCTCACCAAAGTCGTGGGCCGGACGTGCGGCGCCGGAGAGACGCTGCGTGCGTGCGGGACTCGGAGTACGTGACGGAACCCCGAGTCCTCATGCCGGCTGCGCCGCCCCGCCCCTCCTCTCCCCCGGGGCCCCAGAGCCACAGATTCCGCTCCGCCGACGGAGGTCCAGGGGGGGCTCAGCCCCACGTGGAGCAAAGGGGGACTGGGACTCGTCCATACCCCCACCCATTTGCGGGGGCACTGGGGACGCCCCAGCCCGGTCCCGCCCCACCTCCCAGGTATGTCGCCCCCTCTAACCATCCGCATTGGCCGCAGCTCCGCCCTTCCCTCGGACGAGAGACCGAGTGACAGCGCGCTGGGCCAATGGCAAGGCGTCGCGGAGGGGGCGGGTCTGAGGGGCGGGAAGTGGGCGGGGTCCCCTCCGGGCTAGGCAGGAAGTCCTGGCCAGCGGCAGGGAGAAGAGCTCGGGGTACTCGGAGCGCTCGGACGTCGCGACTTATCCCTCATCCTCGGTGTCTGCAGCACCCTCTGCTTCTCGGGCGGCGACCTCCGACGGCCGGGTGAGAACTCGAGGAAGGCCTACCGAGAAAGCGCCCGGGCGGGCGGCGCGTGGGTCCCCCGGGCCCGCGGGCGCTCCTGCCGGTCAGACTGCGGGTGGGGTGTTCGGCTGGGATGGGGAAGGGGTGGGTCCGCGCTTGCGACTGGCCTCCCTGGCCAGAGTTGCGGCTCGACGCTGGGGCTCGGCGCCCGGTTTCTCCGGAGGGGAAAGTGCAGCTCAGCCTGAGATTATGGGTTACGGGGCCGCGTAACTGTCTCGGGAGAGCAGGGGTGCAGCATGCGGTCACCAAGACAACAGGCGGCGAGGGTAGAAGGTTTGGGAAGCGCTCCAGGTCCAAACTCCGTGCTCATTAAAGCCAGGCCCTTCCGAAAATGGACAAAGGGGCCGGGAAAGGAGAGATTACCGCGAAGCTGCAACTACCCCCTCTGGGCCCCGCGCCCCTACCTCCCTCTGGTGGCCCCCAGCCTGGCGCCTGGGTGTCCAGCCAGTCGCTGCTCCGGAATGAGCAGGGACTAATGTGGGTTCAGAAGGCGCTTGTCCTGGAAGAGACTGCAGCGGAGCCGGGGAGTCATTGGAAAGCCCTCCCGGCGACCTCTCCCAGGTCGGGCACGAGCCGCTCTCGGCTCCCCGGGCTGGCCACCAACAGTCAACCCCTGGTCTGACATAAAAAGGATGTATTTTACGAAATCTTCCTGTTCGCTGCTTCCTCTGCAATGTGGTCTTCCCCTTGAGTGGTGTGGGCAGCCGATTGACCTGCTTCCGGGGCACGTGTAGGCCACGCTGCCCGGTCCAGCCATGCTGCCCCTGGTCCGGGGTTCAGTCTAGGCCGATAAAAAGCCGTGCAGGCTCCCAGTCAGACCCACCTTCCCCTCTCTCTGCGCTCATAGCATTTTAATGACTTAGGAGAAAAGTTTTTCTATCCATTTAAAGATAAGCTGAATTTTATTTTTGCATCATGAAATAAGTTGATTACTTTGTCTTATATCACTAAAAGGAAGCCAAAAATGAAATCTTACAACTGTGTGATGAGGTAGTGAAATGAAGATATGTTTAAAAGTGTATCTAAAATCTGTAAAGTAAATCAGTGGTGGCCTGAGGATGAGGGGACAGTGACTGGAAATGGCCTAAGGGAACTTTTTGGCAGTGATAAATGTTACACAGGTATGATTTCCCAAACCCCAAAGTTAACTAGAATCTTACTCTATTTTTTTTTTTAACTAGAATTTTAAAACGAAAAAAAATGTAAGCAAATTTACGTTTTTGTAAGATAGGAGATTAAAAACTAGATGTCTTTTTGTTGGCTAATGAATAAAAACTTCATTGTTACAAAGACAAAGCCACACACGTGACTTCATGTCTAATTTTGAAACTTAAAAAGATGCCATTTGCTGCTTCAGAACATTCCAGAGAAGATACTGGAGGAGGGCCCAGTTAGATAATGGCTTCTGAACAGTGATTAGGTGTCTACCTCTGTCTTACAAGTTGTTCAATTAGTTTATTTCTTGGAGAGCCCCTGGGAGGGAAAGCAAGAAAAGGAGGACTTTTTTTCTTTTTAGCTCTTGATATTTACTCTTTGTAGCTGCAACCGCCACCTTTTTTTAAGGTGTTTTTGAAGGAAACTTCTCTTGGCATATCCTGGTGCTCAAAGAATCATTTCTCTAGGTACAATTCATGACTTTCATAATTAAGATTTTTAGATGAGGTGAAATGCCCATTGAAAGAAACACTAATTAGATAACGTTATTTTTGTGCCCCGTCTTGCTAAAGACCCAAGCACTGTGAGGTTTGAAAGGCTCAGAAATTGGCAAAGCTCACAGCACACTGACCAAGAGGCTCACTCCTCCCTTCCAACCTCATAATTTCTGATTATTCTATATCGACCTATTCAAGTTACCTGATGAATTGTGTTTCTAGCTTTTAATTCACTGTTCCGCTACAAACCAGATTTTGCTCCTGTAGTTTGTTTTTTTTTAATCCCACCAGCACACACGTGGTCAGGCTTTCTTTGCTTGCAGGACCAGCCCTGAACTAGTAGGGCCTTTCAGAGCTGCCCCCCACCTACTTTTTAGGAACAATTCCCACTGCTTTCCAGCAGGCATTTTCTAGTCACCCTTCCTACATTAATTTTTAGTTATATGCACTCTTTCCTAGTCTAGGAATCCTCAGCTGTGACCTCTTAAATAACGAGTTGAGGCTTTGTTATGGTTCATGGAAAATGTGAACTGTGTTTCCCTGCAGAAATTCACCATGTCCATCCTCAAGGTCCACGCCAGAGAGATCTTTGACTCTCGTGGGAATCCCACTGTTGAGGTTGATCTCTTCACCGCGAAAGGTATGTGCTACTTTTGTTTCTATAATCCCTGGCACCACATTCCATTTTTTAAAGCTTCAAATGACAGAGCCTTAGGCAAGAAACAGCTTGTGGTCTTGAAAGCCTTTCTTTCTGATCTGCACGTGCTGGTAGGCTATGCTCCGAGGTTGGGAGGCAAGAGGCCCTTGTGCTTCTTGGTATTTAGAGCAGGACACAGGTCCGCCCCTAGGTCACTGAGGTAGGGAGGTAAGGTGATACCTTGTCCCTAAAAGGGCCCGTCACTCGTTTGCCTCACAGCTTGTTGTGACCAAATAAGTAGGTACGGTGCAATAGGATGGATCTTCCTTGAAAAGGAAAGAGATTAGGGGAGTATAAGGGTATATATAGCGCTCTTATCTCTGCTTCCAGAGATAACTCTTAGAGGATCAGGGACAGTTTTTACTTGGGGGTGTTGGGACATTCCAGAGGCTGGTATTTTTACCTGGCTATAAGTCCACATAGGAAAAATTTGCCCACATTTGAAAAGAATAGGATGGGTCCCTCTTAAAATCTCCCCTCCTTAATCTTTTTTACTTTAAGAAAATCTGGTGCTTCCCTAGCCCCTGTGTTAGCTCCAGCAACATCTCAGCCATTTTCTAAATGGCCCAAGTGTGTGAAGTTGGAAAGGAACCTGCCAGTCAGAGCTGAGTCATGGTCTGAATCACAGGCCTGGCAGAGGAACCTCCAGCCCATCCCTTCCTGTCCTGCCTTCCCCCTTGCCCAGAAAGTGAAGGCCCCTCAAGTCTAGATTTATCCAGCAGAAGTCTACCTGTGGTTAACGGGCGGGGGGTGGGGGGGGTTGCCATGAGAACACCATTCCTTCTGGGCATGTGCCTTGTGGATTCTCAGATTGCAAGAATTTCCTTTCAGTTTATGAGATTGGTTCACTTAGAGAGTGGAACTTTCCACTTGGAAATTAATGGACTTTGAACAATGAAAAAAGACCCAGAATGCTAAAAGATTGTTGAGAGGGAGGCATTTTCTTTGAAACTCTTTAAAATGACTAAAATTAATGTCTTTTAACACTTAAATGAATGGAACTTTCTCTTATGTGTCTTAATCCTTTTCAGGAAGAAAAAAAGCTCCAGAAAATCATAAATTTGTTAGGAACCTTTCATCACTTCTTTCTTTCTTTCTTAGAATTCATTTTTAGACCAGTTTTAGGTTCGCAGCAAAATCAAGTGGAAAGTAGTGTTCCCATCTACCCCCCATCCCCACTATCAACACTCTCACCTGAGTAGTAGTTAGAGTCAAACCTGCATTGACACGTTATCACCCAAAGTCCATAATTGACCTTCTTCACCTAGACTAACCTTTGTTAGAGTCAAGCCTGTATTGACACGTTATCAGCCAAAGTCCATAGCTGACCTTAGGGTCACTCTTACTTCCATTGCTCCTTCCCCTTGTCCAGAGCTGATGGATACAGAGAAAGCCAGGGCCTGGATACAAAGAACATGTGGCCCACTGCTCACATAGTCATGTGGTAACACAAGCACATAACCAAGTGTGACTGAGATACTTGGTTGGTTTTTTCCTCTTGAATTGAGTTGCCTTCACATCCCCACACCCGCCAGTTCTCAGAGGGGAAGTCCCTGACAATTTCAAGGAGATTCGAGAGGCTGCCTGCACTTCCTGCTCCCCTAACCCTGTCTGCCCCATGTAACCGGATCTCTACAGTACCTTTCCTAACACCGTCTGTCCTCCAAGGACAGCTGCCACTTTCTGCTCCACACTAGGCTCACCTAGGCAGCCGGTTTCTGTATCTGCAGGACTGTGATTGGGTTCTCGTGTGATTAACTCTGCGCCTTTGTTGTCCTTATTCCTTTTCTCTTCCAACCTGTCCTGTTAGGCAGAGAACCTCCAAGTAGCGTTCACTGCTGCTGAAGCTGAGGCACATGAGCTGTAGTGATTGCTCTTGAACCATCACCTTCCAGACGTGAAAGCTAGCAACCCGATCTCAGTTGTCTAAGGGAAGCTTAGCAACAGTGCTCTCTAGCTGGACTGTCTAAAATAGCTTGGTGTTTGTGTGGGTTACTAGCTCCTAGAACATGACAAATCCCACAAGTGGATTCATGGTGTTTCTGTTGGACTGTGTGGCTGGGGGTGGTCTATGGACCAGCTGCAGGGCACCACCTGGGAGCTTTTAGGGATGTGGACTCAAATGTCCTGTCATGTCTCAGGGTCTGGATTTTAACCCACAGGTGCTGTGTGCACACATTAAAACTGGAGAAGCTCTGCTCTAGACCTTTATCTTTAAACTAGAGAAATTCATCAGCTCTGCTGTAGCATCTTTGGTATAAAGTCAGAAGCACGGGAGGCAGGAGGAACAGCCATCTTAGTGTTCCCGGTGTTGGAAGGAGGTGACCATTTCCTGAGGGCAGATGCCCTCTGTGCTGGGAGGGATCTGGGAGCTATTGCTTAATCATTAGTAAAGATTTTTCCCTCCTTCCTCTCTCGACATCCAGGTCTCTTCAGAGCTGCTGTGCCCAGTGGCGCCTCAACTGGAATCTATGAGGCCCTGGAGCTCCGGGACAATGATAAGACGCGCTACATGGGGAAAGGTGAGTGCAGACCCACCTCCCTCCTCCCTGCAGCTTGCATCTGAGGGCAGGAGACCTCTGATTGGCCCAGGGTGTGGACGGCGAGCATGATGCCAGGGTCCCTGAGCCTGTAACCCAAGGCAGGCATTTTCACATTCTTTCTCCTGTGATTTGTCTCCAGTCTGTGAAGAACTCCTGGTTGGGCCAGGGAATGAGGGAGAAGAAGACACGTTAGCTAGTGCTCAGGAGAAGCCTTTGTCCTCCAGGAGGGCTCTGAGGGCCTTCCCGGCCGGCAGGCCTCTTCCCAGGGTGCGGGCTCAGGGCTTGGAGGCTTCCGACTCATCACGGATAGATCAGTTGTTGTCTCTCTGGCAGAGCCGGCCTCCGGTGGTCTGTGTGCACACGTTCACCTTTCTGCAGATAGAACCCCAGAGGCCAGGTCACGGGAAAGCAGACGGGGCTGGACTGCTCTCTCCACGGAGCAGTGTCACCCCGGGGATAGGAATTGGTTCTGGAGAGAAGGCAGGAGCACAGGCTGTGTCACAGTTTGTGGCCCTCCCGAGGGCCGCACTGTGAGGAGATGGAGGGCACGAGGGGGCTGCCAACTTTCCAGGGGAGGGCGATGAGGAACACTGCATCGGAGGGGCAACAGCGAGCGAGGTCAGGTTGAGGGGGACACGGGGCCAGGGTCACAGTGGCTCCACTGCAGGGCGGCAGCTTCTGGAAAGAGCTCTCCTGAGGGGTCTCACTGGCAGCCCAGGTGGACGCCTGCCCACGGCAGGAGGACCGCACCTCGCCTCAGTTGTGACGAGGACAAATGCATGGTCCCCACCGCCTTCTCCCACCTACCTGTTTCCTCTCTTTCTCTCACTCAGCGTCCTTCACAACCTGTTCTCTTCTGAGGCTTTCTTTTTTCCTTCTCTGTCAATCTCTGCTGGTTAGGTGTCTCCAGACCCGTTAAGTATGTTAACGAGTTCCTGGCACCAGCCCTGTGCACACAGGTAATGCACACGGGGCGGCCTTTAGCCTCTGCGGTTGGCCTGTCCAGTGCATGGTCTTGCCAACTAACCTCCCTCCAGACAGTCTGTTTGGCGGCTCTGTGTGTGGCTCTAACCCATGGGGGTCCTAGGTAAGAGCACTCAGACTGGGCCAGAAAGCCCTCCGATTCCGGGGGGAGAGGGCCAGGGGTCCCGTTGAAGGTCTCTGGTGGGCTCTGAATATCTGGGTGAATATGGTGAGCGGTTCTCTAGCAGCGCTGCTCAAGCCTCTCTCATCAGCATCGGTAATTTGATTTGATTGTTCCTTCTAGGTGTCTCAAAGGCTGTTGAGCACATCAATAAAACTATTGCGCCTGCCCTGGTTAGCAAGGTAGGACCTGCCTCCTGATGACTAATGTATATTAATGCTATCAGAGCGCCGCCCAGTCCAGGCCGGGGGGCTTCCCTGTTTAAGGAAGAGCTTATTCTGAGAGCTAAAGAAGCTGGTGGGATTCCCTGTCGTGCATGCAAGTTACTTGGTCTTTGCTGACCCACCCTCTGCCTGTGTGGCCATGTCTAACAGCATGAAACTGGATCCGAGGGACAGGAGGCTCCAAGAGCCTTGATGTTTCCCAGCAGTGATCTTGACCTCCGGGGAGTTAAGATCCAGATTTTAAGGGTGGCTCCCAGGGGTGTTGAATGTAGTACCTATGGCCACTGACTCATTTTTCATGAGCTGTGGAATTACTTACTATATGTTTAAACAGCAGAACTCTTGTTAAATAAAATCCTATTTGGAGCCTCAATATGGCAAACATAAATGCAGCTGCTGTAGAGGAAGTGGGCCTGGGGACCTCACAGCCCAACCTGCTCAGCTATTTTTTGTTGCTTTTGTCCTCCCTCCAGCCCCTCCCTCCCAGACTCCTATGGCCGAGCCTGGCCTCATGTGTCCTCCTTGGCGTGGTCCCTCTCCCAGGTCCACTCTGTGACCATGGCAAGTGGCACCTCTGCTGGTTCTATTCCCAGCTTGCCTGCTGTGGCCGGCCCACGGGGCCCGCTGTGATTGGTCCCCAGGCAGCATCTCCATCACTGCTCTGCCATCCCCTCCTCTCGGTGCCCTCAGCTGGCACGGCTGACTGTGAGCAGGGCTTTCCTGGACATTTTCTTTTGTTGGTTACTCCTGGTGAGTGTTGGCCTCAAGCCATCTGCTGGGGTGACCTCTAACTTTACCCAAAGTTGCCTGGACAAAAAAGTTAAAAGATGCCGAAGTGTTAACAGGGTGTGATGGACTTAAAGAGATTTTTGTTTTCTTTTTGTATTTTAGTTTTTTAATGAGAAAGATGATAAATAATTTGCTGTTGTGAAGTTTTTAAAGTAATGTTGACTTTTATTTCATTACTTTGAGCCGGTTTTTAAGATGCCAATTTGGTTACTTTATACTCTCACCAAATGTATTCATTTTGGTCAGTTATCAAACATTTTGGGGACTTCCCTGGCAGTCCAGTGATTAAGACTCCACACTCCAATGCAGGAGGCCTAGGTTTGATCCCTGGTCAGGGAACTAAGATCCCACATGCTACACACAACCTGGTCTAAAACATTAAATAAAGATTATTGTTGTTATTGTTATTATTATTATTATTATTATTTTGGCCTTGTGGACTACCCACAAAACTGGTATCTCCCATCAGATACTCAGACGTCCTCACTGAGGACAGCTGAGTGACAGCAGAAACTGACTTTGATGAGCACAGCTCTTCAAATAAAGAACAATGAGTTCTGTTGTTTTACGGCCCCCAAAGTCACAATGCTGGGAGAAGTACGTGATGCTCTTAGAGCCTGTGAAGGGCAGTATTGTGTCTCTGTTTTCTCCTGACGTGGATAAGCACAGAACCGACCTGGGCTTTGCACGGTTCCCCGGGCTGGTGGCTCTGTGACAGGAGGGCCCAGGGTGTGTGGGTAGAAGCACTATTCCCTCCAAGCAGCTCACCCTCCCTTCTCCCTGCAGAAGCTGAACGTTGTGGAGCAGGAGAAGATCGACAAGCTGATGATAGAGATGGACGGCACAGAAAATAAGTGTGAGTGGCCAGAGTGGAATCTTTGCCAGGAAGGTCGTGTCTTCTCCTGAAGACTCTTTAAGTCCCTTGGGGAGAGGTCATGTTGTCCCTAACAATGAGTTATGTAACCAGATACCTGTGGTCCTTGCCTCACGTTCATAAATTACGTTTTTAAGTATCAGGAGTACAGCCAGCTGACATCAGCAGGTGTGGAGGGTTACTCAGAAGAGGCCAGCAATTTGCAGAACTTTGTAGAGTTTTATAGACCAAAGAAAGGGCTTTCTCTTTGGGGGAAAGAGCAGATGGGTATATGTGGGAAGTAGGCTGTTGTATTTCTGGTGTGATAGAGACGAAGAGGTTCAGAATACAATCCAGGGTGCACACAGTGGTGGTCCAGGCGGGAAAGCCAGCTGGAGGAAGGCTGGTGGGTAAGACATGCCTTCATTGAACTCTGTTCTGCTCCAGCCAAGTTTGGTGCAAACGCCATCCTGGGCGTGTCCCTGGCTGTCTGCAAGGCTGGTGCCGTGGAGAAGGGGGTGCCCCTCTACCGCCACATCGCTGACTTGGCTGGCAATGCCGAGGTCATCCTGCCAGTTCCGGTGAGTGGCTGGTTGGAGTTTCCCGTGTGCGGAGCGGGGGGGGTGTTTGCTTTCTCGTGGGGACCCGAGACCTCCCGCCTCTCCAGCTCATCTGTATGTGATCCTCCAGCACGAGGGTACGAGCAGGCTCTGGGAGTCTCGGCTGCAGACAGCTCTGCCAGCACCGGCTGACAGTGACCTTGAGCACCCATCTTCTCAATTGTCGATGGGAGAGGGCCTCTGTACTTGTTGGATTGTGTGCACCTGTGGTGGTGGCTGCAGTGCAGTGATGCACAGGCTCCATGCGGGAGCTGGGCATTGAGGGGCTGCTGGGAGCAGGGAGACCCTCCAGGCCAGAAGCTATACTCCTCTCTCTCCCTACAGGCTTTCAATGTCATCAACGGTGGCTCTCACGCTGGCAACAAGCTGGCCATGCAGGAGTTTATGATCCTTCCTGTTGGGGCCGAAAATTTCCGGGAGGCCATGCGCATTGGAGCAGAGGTTTACCACAACCTGAAGAATGTCATCAAGGAGAAATATGGGAAGGACGCCACCAACGTGGGAGACGAGGGCGGCTTTGCCCCAAACATCCTGGAAAACAAAGAAGGTAGCAACTCCAGGGGAGCCCCCACCCTGGGCACCGTGGGCCCCCTCCACGCCCCACCACCCCCAGTCTGCTGCTTTTCCACTTTGCATTCATCAAGTACCAAATCACAAAACCATTTGTGATTTAAGAAACTAACACTTCCTTAAAAAAAAGAAGTTTTCTTATTTATTTGATTTCTAAATGGCCCAATGATTTGCTTAAACTGGGCTGACAGTAGGCTTGAGAGGCAGTTTGTTCTCCCATCCTTGCTTCCCAGCGATGGCAGAAGTGTGCTGCCTACTCCCTGTTTAAGGATACTGGCATGCTGAGGTTTCAGGTCATTCAGCCACAGTAATGTCACACATGCTTTGTTTTGCTTTGAATCCTTAGACGCAGAATTAAATGTGAGAGTTGAATAGAGGATACGGAAGTCTTAGGAGAAGAATTCATGGCTGAATTTTTTGTTTTAGAAGAAAAATCTAGGGCTCCAAGCATATATCATGGGCTTCTGGGATGGTTAGTGAAAGGAAATGTCTATCCTGACCTTTGGGTCAGTCATACACAATAGCTGACATTCGACTATTTTAACTTATAAAAAACCGGCCCTTTCACGTGGTTTGAGTCTTGGGCACCTTTGCTGTTCAACAGTAGCCGGTGTCTTGGTCAGTTTCCCTGCAGGCAGTGCTTCTGAGTGAGGCCGACCCTGAGCCTGGACCCGGACAGCAGAGCCTAGTGGCGGGGCCTCAGCGTGGGGCTCCCCGTCAGTCCACTGGGCTCCCTCTTGGATTTCAGCCTTTTGTTCAGTCACGTAAATCATGTCTTGACTCTTCGATCCCATGGACTACAGCATGCCAGGGTTCCTATCCTTCACCCTCTCCTGAAGTTTGCTCAGATTCATGTCAGTTTAGTTGGTGATGCTGTCTAACCATCTTATCCTGTCTTGGCTCTATTTAAAGCCTGTTCTTTGGGACAGCTGATCTCAGCTGGTCACTGTAACTGTATCTTGGCCAGCACAGCTGTTCTTTGGTGCTAAATTTGGGAGCATTTGTCAGTGAAAAAGCCTCAGAGTCAGTTTCCAACTTGGCCATGCACTCGTGGCCCTGAGCAAAGGTTTCTTGCCCCAGAACATAAAAAGGTTCCTGGAATCTTGAGACTGGTGGTTGGGGCCAGAGCACCTTATCTTCCCTCTGTTATGGTTCGCACTGGGCAGAGCTGGCCTGGTCTCCAAAGTCGTCACCACCATCTCTTTCCAGCCCTGGAGCTGCTGAAGAATGCCATTGGCAAGGCTGGCTATAGCGACAAGGTTGTCATTGGCATGGACGTAGCTGCCTCTGAGTTCTACAGGTCGGGCAAGTATGACCTGGACTTCAAGTCGCCTGATGACCCCAACAGGTACATCACACCCGACGAGCTGGCCGACCTGTACAAGTCCTTCATCAGGGACTACCCAGGTGAGTGTTCCCAAGGCAGCTGCAGGTGTGAGTGGCGGGTATCGCCGGCCTGTGGTGGTGACGTGTGAGCGCCTTGTGTCACTGTTACAACAGCCTCGTGAATGAGCAGATGTGAGGCAAGGACCTTTGAGAACTAGGACTGCCAGGCACTCCTCTAGGCTCTGTGTTACCTGATGCGCACGGGAGAGAGGACAGAGGCAGAGAGTGGGTTAGAACTTGCCCAGGGGCGCTCAGCCAACAGTGGCACAGGTGTTCACACCAGGCAGTGCCTCTGAGTGCCCGCGTTTAACATTGAGCACCTTGGTGGAGATGGGGCTGGAACGCAAACCCCAGAGTCACCCTTCTGGGTCCACAGCCATGTTCTTACCCTTGGTGGCACTAAACTGAGAACCCCCTGGGCAGTAGGTTTTCTGCCTCCACAACCATGGGATTGCAGGATTGCAATTACTGTGCTCCCTGTCACAGGAGGGCTGGGTAGGGCGGACTCCTTCCAGGACTTGCTTTAGGGACGGGCTGTCTGCAGGTGAGAGGGGCGAGGCCAGGTGAGCCTCAGTTCAGGGGAGGAGGGGGGCTCCAGCGGCGTTGGTGGTCAGCAGCCTGGGAGGCCACCCTGATAAAACACACTCTACTCTACTCTCCTCAGTGGTGTCTATCGAGGACCCCTTCGACCAGGATGACTGGGAAGCTTGGCAGAAGTTCACTGCCAGCGCGGGGATCCAGGTGGTAGGGGACGACCTCACGGTGACCAACCCCAAGCGGATCACCAAGGCCGTGAGCGAGAAATCGTGCAACTGCCTCCTGCTCAAAGTGAACCAGATCGGCTCTGTTACCGAGTCCCTGCAGGCGTGAGTGCCCTCCCTCTGGGGGCAGCTCTTGTGAAGAGAGGGGCCTGAACCTGGTGGTGGGGAGGGGGCTTCTGATTGGAACTACAGGTGACATTTAAAGTTAGCGATGGCCCGCAGGGGCCCGGGCCATTTGGCCCTTGTGGCCTGGTCCTGACCACTGGGTGTCCATGCACTCACGATTCCATATCACACAGAATGTCAGTCCAGGCGCGCACACACCTCTCTCTCAAGGAGGCTGAACCCACTAGTTTTCCAAACGTGACTACAGGGCAGAGAACGTCCTTGGGCCTTCACGGGAGGTCGAGGGTTATCCTTTTCCCAGCAGTTGAGGGCTCGGGAGGCCAGGAGGGGCTGCGGTGCCTGAGCCGTGGAGCCATGCCATCTGGTTTTCTCTGGCTCCTAGGTGCAAGCTGGCCCAGTCCAACGGGTGGGGCGTCATGGTGTCGCATCGCTCCGGGGAGACTGAGGACACCTTCATTGCTGACCTGGTGGTGGGGCTGTGCACGGGGCAGGTAAGGAGCTCCCTGACACGAAGGGCAGGCCTTGCTTCTCCTGAACACAGACCTGGGGTGGGGGTGGAGAGAATGGAGTCCTGGGTGCCCCTTTTACCCGCCCTTCCTAGGTCAGAGAGCCTGCTTAAGGCCTTGCTGTCTCTGCCTGGCACCCTGCCCTTGCCCAAAGCGTCTGAGAGGATTCAGTGTCCACTGTAAGCAGCTGTGGCCTTTGTTTTCTGCTTCCAGATCAAGACTGGTGCCCCATGCCGATCCGAGCGCTTGGCCAAGTACAACCAGATCCTCAGGTAAGAGGCTGCCCGCGCTGAGTGTGGGCTTGGTCTCCAGGAGGAGCCCCAGGCTGTGCTCGGAGGTACGAGGTGGGGCAGGCACCCGGCCCCAGTGGTGTTGGGCTGGGGCCAGTCAGGCACCTGACAGCCCTCCCCTGGAGCGGGCCTGCTCCACACGACCTGCCTGGTGGCTGCTGGGGGGAGAGGAAACCACTCCCCTCCGGACAATTGAATCCTAGAATTTAGGGGGGCTACAAGGGGGCCTTAGTGATTCTCTCACTTCACAGCCTTGTTTTGTGGGCAGGATAACAGAGCTCAGAGAGAAGAAGAAAAATTGCCAAAGGGTAAACTGCAGGGTTTCCAGTGTTCAGCGCCTAGTCTAGTCTCTAGTCTCTCCCTTTTTTGTCCTTGGGAAGCTTTGCCTATAAACACAGGGAGACCTGCCCTTTTTTTTTCTTCTAGTCTTGAAGGGAAAAGGAACGTCCATTTCATAAGTCCTCCCACATTACCCCATCTTTAAAACTTTATCCTGGAAAATGCCAAGCATATAAAATATAAGTGAATAGTAGACTGTACTCCCTCTCCATCACATGCATGTACCCGCTGTTCATATTCCTCCGTGTTTTGTCTCTTCGCCCTTTTCTGACAAATCTTAAAGCAAATTCCAGGCATTTTATGATTTCACTTGTGTATATTTCAGATAAAGATTTACTTTTGTTTTTTAACATAACCACTCTACCATGATGGTTCCCACGATTAGTGGTAATTTCTTGGTGCTAACATTGGGTCTGTCCATCTAGACTGTCTCCTCTCTTGTTGCAGTGGCCATTTCTTTTTTGACATCAGGATCCAGAGTGCCCCCGCCGTTTTTCCCTATACCACTTATTGGTTCAAGAAACTGGGTTATCCTTTCATTTTAAAAATCTTTTTTTTTTTTCTTTTTTAAGTATTTTAAGAAATCACAGTTCTACCATTTCTTACATTAGGAAGGCGGGGAAGGAAGGAGACCAGGTGCATGAGAAGAGCCCATATTTTCTATTCCTGGCATCTCCAAGAAGTTCAAGTTTAGGGATTAGTCAGGCAGACTGAATGAGGGTTGAGTCCCCAAGTTCTTAACAAGTGTGTCCTTGACCACCTCTCTGGGTGGGAAAATTTACTGCATTGAAGTTTGACATCTGTCTTTTCTCTCCCCATTTCTCTCCCTGCTTCCTAAGAATTGAAGAGGAACTGGGCAGCAAGGCCAAGTTTGCCGGCAGGAGCTTCAGAAACCCGCTCGCCAAGTAAGCTGTGGGCGGGCGAGCCCCTGCAGTCACTCGTTGGCTCCTTAGACCTGCGTCTGATGTCACCGGGCAGTGTGAGGCCCCCACTGATGCCCACAAGGGCCTCTAGTAGTTACCTGCCCTCTCCTCGTCCTGTGACGTCCCCACCACTTCCTTAGACCTGCTGCAGAAGCCACGCCTGACCATCTGGAGCCCTGCTGGAAACCCTAGCTCTGAAATCACGTACTTGGCCCAAATCATTGTTCTTCTCACCTCGCTTCCACCAAGTATCCAGAGCTCTGTGTATCTAGATTGTCATCTCTGAAGTGTCCAGTGGGTTCGTGTGCAAAATAAAAAGGCCTGAGTGACCCATAAACATATGCCCTATGTGTATGAAGTGGTCTCTGAGTCTGTTCTCACGTCTTGGGTATTCAGGAAGCACCTCTACAAGAACCAGATAGAAGTGTCATGATAGAAGGAACAGGAGTTTGTGGAAGACGTATAAGTTCTTGGGGGAGGGCATGTTGGGGAAAAGGTGAGAGAGGGGTCAACCAGTGCCCTGCGGCAGTGGCACTTCGGGGCTGGACATCAGGACCAAGCTTGTTTGGGAGAGAAAAATGCAGAGCTCTCACAGGGTACCTCTAGGGCAGCTAAATAAGTTAAAATTTAATTCATTCCTTATTTTCATCTGCCTGATGTCAAGTGCTCAGAAGCTCCATGTCACTGATACCCACTGCTTTGGGTACTGCAGGTATGAAGTGCTAGCATTGCAGAAAGCACTGTCTGGAGTAATGGATGAGTACCAGTGAAATGTGAAAATACTGTAGCTTCTCTGCCCTCTGCCCCTTGAGGTCTGGTGTTATACTAGCATTTTATTTTCTTCCCCTGACTTGATACAAATCCCTTGAATTGTGTTTTAATACTCTGGCGAGAGTCCCTTGCATTGCAAGGAAAGCCAACCAGTCCATCCTAAAGGAAATCAGCCCTGAATATTCATTGGAAGGACTGATACTGACCTGATAAAAAGGTAAACTCTGGGAGTTGGCGATGGACAGGGGGGCCTGGCGCACTGTAGTCCATGTGGTCGCAAAGTCAAACACGACTGACTGAACTGAACCTAGCGAGGCCCCCTTGTGGACATTCTTGTTCATTGCTCATCTCTATCAACCCAAGAAGCAGAGCCAGAAGAGAGTGTTCTTCACTCAGTCGTGTCTGACTCTGACCCCATGGACTGTAGCCTCACCAGGCTCCTCTGTCCATGGAATTCTCCAGGCAAAAATACTGGAGTGGGTTGCCGTTTCCTTCTCTAAGTAGAAGATACATACACAATATTGAGATTCATCACAAGGAATTGGCTCCTATGATTGTGGGGCATGACAGAGTCCATAGGCTAGTCAGTCAGAAGGGAGCATGATCAGAAAAGAACACAGGTTCAGGTGAAAATCCTCTCTTGTGTAAGCCCTGATTTAAGAACTTCACCTGATTCAGGCCCACCCAGATCATCCAAGAAAATTCCTTGTTCAGAGTCCACAGTGAGTGGTTTGAATTACATCTGCAGAATAGCTTCACAGTAATACCTAGATTAATATTTGAGTAGCAGGACTCCTACCTTATCACAGAGCCATCACCCCTTGTGAACTTGGCAACCACACACAAATGTCTATCTTATCAGAGCCATCACCCCTTGTGAACTTGGCAACCACACACAAATGTCTTATCACAGAGCCATCACCCCTTGTGAACTTGGCAACCACACACAAATGTCTGAAGCCATCCTTCATCTCCAGATAACAAGACCCTATTTCACCTAATGTGGTCCAGCCCTCCTGTGTACAGCCAAAACCACTAACCAATCCCAGCTTTGCATGACTGGTTCCCATCTGAAAACTGATTCTACAAGGAAGTGATTGAACTGGGCCTGACAGTCTGACTGGACTGTTTGTTCATCCAAACTTAGAGTGCTAAATTTGGTCGCATGTCAACAGTTCCTATGCTTAGTCGCTCAGTCGTGCCTAACTGTCTTTGAGCCTGCCAGGCTCCTCTGTCCATGGAATTTCCCAGGCAAGAATACTGGAGTGGGTTGCCACTTCCTCCTCCAGGGGCTCTTCCTGACCCAGCAATCGAACCTGCATCACCTGTGTCTTCTGCATTTCAGGAGCCATCAGGAAAGCCCAACATTTCCTGATCAGCAATTTGTCACTCAGGTTAAAGGACAGATAGGAGCCCTTTCAGATCTATTCCACCCAGAAGGAAGGCTCCTGGGGTCTCACTGAGCCCCTGGGGACAATTTGACAGCTTTTCACCCAGCAGAAACAAAGCATGTTGCTGACATGGATGGGCAGAAATAAGCCAGGAAGAAATACAAACCATCAGTCTTTTCCTGGGCATTCTATCTGAAGCAGGACAAGCAACGCTGATTCTACGTTTCCAAGTGTTTTTGAAGTAAACATCTCTGGTAGCACTTGTTAGTAATCTCTGGACTTGTGTTATATGTTTCCTTTTTTAATGTTAACCTCATAATACAAACATTGGTTTTTCACCTGTGATTGTCTTCCAACTTCAGATTCCTGAAACAAAACTCAACTGAAAATTTGAAGCAGTGTAATTTACAAACTTTTGTTGACCATACCTTAGAGTCTCCCTGGGTTTCCCTGGTAGGTCAGCTGGTAAAGAATCTGCTTGCAATGCAGGAGGCCCCAGTTCACTTCCCTCATGTCTTCCTGGTGGCTTCCCTGGTGCACTCAACTGAGTGCAATGGGGGAAACTTGGGTTCGATCGTTGGGTTGGGAAGATCCCCTGGAGAAGGGAAAGGCTACCCAGTCCAGTACTCTGACCTGGAGAATTCCATGGACTATAACCTTAACTCTAACCCTAACCTCTTCCAACAACACAAGAGAAGACTCTAGACATGGACATCACCAGATGGTCAATACCAAAATCAGATTGATTATATTCTTTGCAGCCAAAGATAGAGAAGCTCTATACAGTCAGCAAAAACAAGACCGGGAGCTGACTGTGGCTCAGATCATGAACTCAACCGACACGAGTTTGAGTTAACTCCGGAAGTTGGTGATGGACAGGGAGGCCTGGCGTGCTGCAGTCCATGGGGTCACAAAGAGTCAGACACAACTGAGCGACTGAACTGAACTGAATTGATACAACAAAGAGTCAGACACAACTGAGAGACTTTTCACTCACTAGAGTCTCCTCAGAAGCTTTTAAAGTTTTGGTCATACCCTGCATCATGTGGGAATCTTAGTTCGCAGACCAGAGATCAAGCCTGCACCCCCTGCACTGGAAGGCAGAATCTTAACCGCTGGGAGGGAAGTATCCCCTCTGCCTCCCAGACCAAGTAAATCAGAACCTCAGAGCAGAAACCAGAGGCTCAGTGGTAAAAAGTTTCCCAGCTGACTCCAGTATGCAGCTCTGAGCCTGGTAATGCTCTGTGCCTCTGGCACTGGTAATTTTATTTTAATGAATGTAGCTGAGACTGGAAGATGGCAGCTGAAGGCAGTCAGCACAGGTCACAGAACTGCAAGCTGAAGCATTTGCAGGGAGGAAGCCTGGACAGGAGCCTGCTTTTTGACTAAGAATTCCGAGTCGAGTCAGCTCTCTACATGATTTGGCACCAGGGACAGGTTTCATGGAAGACAGTTTTTCCATGGGGGATGATGGTTCAGGCTAACACAAGTGTTGGGGAACAGTAAATGAAGGTTCACCAGCTCAACTCTTGCTGTGGAGCCTGGTTCCTGACAGGTCCATGGACCAGTATTGATCTGTCTTGAGGGTTGGAGACCCCTGCCATAAATGGTCACATGGTTGGGGGAATGAATTGGGAGACTGGGATAGCCATGTCCAGTACTGATAGTGTACATAAAAGAGCTAACTAGTTAGAAACTACAGAGTAACTCAGGGAACTCTTCTAGGGCTCTGTGGTGACCTAAATGGGATAAAAATCCAAGAAAGAGGGAACATATGTATACATACAGCTGATTCCTTTTACTGTGCTGTAGAAAGTAACACAAGTTTATAAAGCAGCTTTCCTGATGGCTCAGCTGGTTAAGAACCCACCTACTAGGGCAGGAGACCTGAGAGACTCATGTTCCATCCCTGGGTCGGAAAGATCCCCTGGAGGAGGACATGGCAACCCACTCCAGTATTCTTGCCTGGAGAACCACATGGACAGAAGAGCCTGGCAGGCTATAGTTCATGGAGTCGTAGAGTCGGACAAGACTGAAGCAACTTAGCACACACGCACACATACTCCAATAAAAATTAATTTTAAAAAAAGAAATGGTCACATCAACTTAGGCTCCCACTCAGAATAGAATGAATTAGACCATCAAGTGCTGATACACTTACCTAGGAAGAGGTACATGGGGAAAGCCTGGCATATTGCAGTCCATGAACAACAAAGGAAGAGGTCCGGGGTGTAGGGAAAGGGGATGGAGCTCTTGAGAGCTTAGAAAGCACCTGTGGCTGTGAGTGAACAAAAAAGGGACAGAGTTTGAGTAGAACATTCATAGCAACCCTAGAGAAGTATGGGGACCCACTGAGCCAAATTCACTGAGGTATGATTTACCTTCAGTCACAGGTACCTGTTGTTTTACTGTGGTTGTTTTTTAAGTATTTATTTGCTGCTCTGGGTCTTTGCTGTGGCATGTAGGATCTAGTTCCCCAACCAGGAATGAAACCAGGGCCCCCTGCATTGGGAGTGTGGAGTCTTAGCCACTGGACACCAGGTAAGTCGACACGTACCTGTTTTAAGTGTACAGGCTGATGTGTTTTTAAAAATGCACCTGGTAACTAGCATTACTACCACACCAGGCCATTTCCAACACCCTAAGAGATCCTTGAGCCCCTCCCAATCAACTCCCACCCCAAAAAGCAGACAACCTAGTGTTTTTTTAAATTCAAATTAGTTGTCAAAAATCTAAAACACAGATTTCTTGTAAAAATTCCAATTTCTGGGTTCCAATGAATTGACATTAGACACTGAAACTTGCCAACACTGGGCCCACATTC